TCTTGAGGCCAAAGGTTAACCAAAGGCCATGGAATCTCTCATTTGGGAATGATYTTCTGAAAAATAAGATAATCATATTAATCACCTCAAAAAGTTGTGATGATATCTTGGAGGCMTGTACAGTAGTTAGGGTACCACGCCCCTCACAGGGAAGTACACCTGGCTGTAAGCTATGTTTCAAAACTCTCCTTTCTTTCCCCACCTTTAAGRTCTGTTCTTGAGAACACAGAACAAATCCCATCCATGTGTTTAGGTGAAAGGCTGATTATAGAGTATKTGGTATATAATGAAGCCAAACACATGTTGAGTGAATTAGAAAAAGTGACATTTTAGGGAAAATCAAACTGCCAGAGCCCTTAGTCCCTGGAATGGTGGGGGAGGGGGCAGTCCTCTGTGAATGGAGGATCCCACAGGTGGCTTCTACTTTCTTTTWTTGCCTTGCCTCTCTCTTACTCKTTTTTTTTTTTTTCTCTAAGAGAACCACAGAAGTGTCCTGACTCCTCAACACTCTGCTCTCTTCCTAGGAGAGCTATTTCCTTGTGTCACCTATAAGTCATTTGTATTAGCACAATGCCCAGCACCTAGTAGGCACACAACAAATACTTGAGCCAGGGCATCTGGTGCCCCCACTCATGTGACTGTGACTTTCTCTGGTGTCCTGGGAGCTTTCTTTCCTTCTGTGCTTTGGAACCTTCCTTAGCATTCACTGTCATCTATAGGAGTGGCATGAAAATAAAACCCATTCCCTATGCTGGGATGGCAACTGTTGATTTCACTACAGGAATTTTCACTAAGGGTTAATGACAGAGAAGTTTAGGAAAGCTAAGGATGGCAGAAAGGACAGTAGCATTTGTCTTAGAGGAAATGCTAATTTATGCTAATTTTCCATGAGTGGAAGGAAAAGATCATATCTATTTGGCACGTGCTCTAGGGTAAGCACTTCTTCATCCTGCTTAGTCTTTATCCCAGAATGTAAAATCCCACCACAYAGATGAAGAATGAGGACTAAGAGGTTAACTCCCAAAGACAGGCTAAAACCACCTGCAAGTGATGGAACACTTTTTTATTCCAAATCTGTTTAGCCCCAAKAAATATCTGATGATGAATAAAAAGTAGGTTGTCAAGGGAGAAAGCTGAAAGGAGGCCTCTTAACTGGATGCAGTACAAACACGGACATGTTCTGGCCTTCCCCAGAGATGCTTTGTTTTCCTTGTTTGGTGTTAACTCCATCAGGGGCACTAACTCATCTGTTTGCTTCCCTCACAATCTGGCACTACCTACAGGACATGATCTTCCTGCCAGTTTACCACAAATAACCATGTGCTAAAGTCACTGTAGTGGAGAACTATAACCTAACCACMAAACAGTTACTTTAGATGTTGTTAGAAGCCCAAGTAGTGAAGGATCTTTAATGTGTGGACAGTCAAGCCAACTTGAAGGCTTTAAATGGGGAGATCCTCCTAGTAACCAGTAAGAAAGGACCAAGAGACCCTTTCTACTCCATGCTAGAAGCTTCACTGATTCCTTCACAGATCCCTAGGAAAGACCTGCACAGCCTGCTGGTTTGGGGCTGATGTTGAGGTTGAAAAGGATTCGTCTATGGAAAGTCCATATGGCTAGCAATCTGTGGGAAGTCCTCCAGCTCTTGTCTCCTACTAACCCCACAGCAAAGCTAGAATCCAGACACTCAAATGTCCTAACCTCCCTTTCTGGTCAGCCTTGTGATCACACTCTGGTTATTGAGACAGAAAAGGAAACATATGGGACTTTGGGCAGATTTCCTTCTCCATAAAAAGAGAAGAAGGGCTTCAGTGTGTGACTCCTTTCCAATTTTCTCTGTTTCATTGTAAAAGCAGGATGTCTGGGGCTGCAGTAGCCAACCAGTCACCATGAAGCAATAGGCCTAAGGATGAGACAAGGACGTGCTAAAGAGTAGAGCAGAAAGATAAAAAGATCCTATTGGTTAAACACTGATGGGGAGGCAGGGCCATGTGACAGTCACATAGGACTGGAGTGAAAAGGACAGAGACTTAGTTTTCTAGCATTCCTACTTCCAGAAGGATTTCAATCCTAATACTAAACCAGCATGGATACTGATAGCACAAAGCACTAAAAAACATACATCCATTTTCTACACGTGAGATGTCCAACATGTCCAACAAGAACAGAACACTGGTCTAACCCATGGTCTGCAAACACATCCAAAAAGTTTAGTTTTTCCCTAGACTGGGACACTGACTCTCCTTCCTCCCTAGAGGTACTAGATTTATGCAAAGAAGCACCTGTAAGATCAAGGGCATCATCAGATTCCTTGCAGACCTCACATGCATTACAAATATGCCTGAATGCATGGGCACCCACATTCCTGAGCCCGTTAGGGGTCCAACTCCAGGAAGCAGCTGGGTACTCCTCCTGGCTCTATCAGCAGCAAGGAACCAACAGAAACAAACTTGCTTGTGATCACTAAAAATAAACATCAGCAGGAGTTGGGGAATTCTAATATGTCATCCTGGCTTCCTAGCAAATGTTYACCTTGAAAGCTTGATTGGCAGAGGACTATGTAGGTCTGTGTTACCAAAGTAAACGGATACACAAGAGGAAAGGAAATGGCTTTGAGCCCAATACCATCATCTCTAGGTATGGAAGAATCAGAGGGCTTTTTTTTCTTTTTAATGTTCAACCATTTTAGATTTGTGTCTCTTCTTTATTTACTTTCCTGATTCTATAAACGAAGAGTTTTACTACTTTTTTTTTTACAAATATAAAGGAAAACATGGTTATGAATAAACATTCAAATACAGAAATATTATAAAGTTAACATTGCCCATTCTACTGGTTTCTCACGGCTGCTATGACAAATTGCCTCCAATTGGTGGCCTAAAACAACACAGATTTATCATGTTACTGTTGCRGAGCAGGAAGTCTGAAATGGGTCTCATGGGGCTAAAGTCAGAATGTTGTCAGCTGTGTYCCCCTGGAGGGCCCACGGGAGAATCTGTCTCCTTGGCATTGTCRTTCCCAGAGCCCACTGCATTCCTTGGTTTGTCATATTTTTCCTCCATCTTCAAACACAGCAGGGTCCACTTCAAATAGCTCTATGACTGGGACACTGACTCTCCTTCCTCCCTCTTTCACTTCTAAGGACTGCTGAGGTTAGAGGTCCACGTAGGTAACCTAGGCTATTTCCCCATCTCAGAGTCCTCCACAGATAATAACTGTAGTGCATTTGTAACCTTGTTTTCCTACTTTACACATAATTTTCACTAACCAGGAAAAACTGCACTTAACATTTTAGTAAACAATTCTTCCTAGGCCTTTTTTTTTGTGTGTGTGTGTGTGTGTGTATGTGTGTGTGTTTTGTGTTTTTAAAGAGAGAAATATATATATACACACACACATGTATGTGTTGTAAAGATTGACTATTACACTGTACTCTTGTTACTTAGTTTTTCCTATTTCATATGTATTTGCTTACATATGAAATTTTTTACCCTTTTATTCAATTGCGGTATTATTCATTTGTTTAATGTTCTTKTAATTTGAGGTTTGAGACTTATTTTCATTCAACAAACRTTTACTGCATGGTTATAGAAAGAACCTCTTTGGGTCCAATCACTTTCTAAATTGTCCAGAAGCACCAATTTATTACATTCCACAGAATCCAATATATAAAGACCACTCGGGTCAGTGTTAGCATCTTTTCTTTGATGAAGACTGAAATTGAAAATGAATTAAAAGTGGATTTTTATGAGAACMAAGCAATTTTCTCTTTGTTTTACAACTTCAGAAGCATCAGGAGCTCCTCTCACCTGTCCACAACTTATGGCATGAAGCTTGACAGCTTCTTGGAAACCATAAGTCTTGCTCACTGAATACGAGTTTAGAAGTGGCTAGATTCTGAGGTGCTTGGATCTGAAATGTCCCTTGTTTTCAAAGCCCATGGCACTATTGAGATAGGGTAGGATCTTTCTGATGTGAGACCTAGTGGCAGGAAATTAATCACTGGTAGCGTGCCTTTGAAGGGGAWACTGTAACCCTGCCTTCCCTCTCTCTGCTTCATAGCTGTCACCAGGTGAGCAGTTTCACTCCATAGCCAGCTTGATGCATGATTTTCTGTCTCTCCACAGGCCCCCCAAAAGTAGTCAACTGACCATGTATTGAAACCGTGAGCCAAAATAAATCTTTCCTCTTTTTGATTATCTTGGGTATTTTATTACAGCTATGCAAGACTGACTAACACATGTGGATTTTGGAGAATTTTCATAAGGTTGTGCTGAGAAGGGCCCTTATAAGTGAACAATAACGTGCATTTTTTTTTCTTTTTTAGAATCTCTTYGAGGAATAATTGAAACACACACAATAAATTGGACATGATAAGTTCTGATTTGGTGAGGTCTGACATATATAAATACCAATAAAGTGATCATTAAAATGAARCTAATGAATATATTCTTACACAAGGTGTCTCTGTGTGTGTATGTACCTGTAAARTCTACCCATTATTTTTAAGTTACCAGGTTATTACTTTACCATTGAATTAGAGATTTTGTATACCCCATGTGTTGGGMATAGCATTAAGATCTCAAGTAATTTAACCTTTACAAAAATTCTATGAAGGAAGAGCTACTATTACCAACTGTACTCTTTCAGAACTGGGTAAGAACAAAACTACCGGGGAGGCGGTCTCAAGAGACCCTCCACGGGGTAAGTGGCAGACCTCATTTAAATCCACCAGGATCCATGCTCCAAACTACATGGTGGCTTGCCTTCTAAGTTGTTCCACCGCATGGATGTCCCATAGGTCACTAGTCAAAGTGTCTTACTATGGAGTCATCCTTCCAGTTCCGCTGAACTCTTAATTCTTGGGGATAAATCTGGAAAACCCGGGAGGTACCCAGCCCACAGGCGGGCCACGAGGGGGCGCTCGGGGATCTCAGCGTCCTCGTTGCCCTGGCAACCACCGTGCCCTGGCCTAGGCGGCTCTCAGCAAAAGTGGTAAAATGGACCTGAGCTCTTGGATGTCAGAGCTGGGTTCCGGCAGCCAGAAGGTGAAGAAGGTCGCCGTCTCCACCGGCCCCTCACTGGAGTTATGCACCTTCCCCTCTACCCTGGGCTCCTCGGTCGCGACTGCTGCGCTAGAGCAACTCTTTGTTGTGGGTGAGAGGTCCCCGGGTGACTGGAGCGAAGTCCCCTCGGGAATGGCGCATAGCGGGCAGGGACCATCCCTGGCCAGGGCCGAGCATCCCTGACCAATGCAGAGGTTTCTTCCTCTCCTTGAAGGCTTGGGGGAGAGGCGGTGAGGAACTTCAGTGCTCTGATGCAGGCAGGGTGACTTGACCTAGCTCATTTTAGTGGCTGGGGAAAAATCCTGACTCCCATGACCTGAGTATCCATCTGCTTTTAGATTATGCCTTACTTCAACTGTCTCTTCCTGCTTTTCTTTTGCAAGTTAACTTCCTTTMACATTTTGCTATGGCAAATGGGGAGTTTAATAGTCAAGTGGGAAAGGAAGTGTTTAAAGAAGCGCCTGTTGTGTTGGGCAAGGAAAATTAGATTAAAAATGTTTTGGAGATTCAGACCAAAAAGGACCTTAGCCAGGTTAACAGACTTCTCCAGCTAGAAAACTGAACTTGTTTGTCCAAGAAGGGGCATTTCTTTTTCAGTGTGAACACCATTTAAGCCAAACAATAAAGCATCTCATTGGTGCACTATAATCATTTTATTTTTTCAAAATAATCATTGATTTCTGTTAAAATGTTACTGTTAGTTTAAAGTAATTTTCTTTTTTCTTCTTCAGGATCTAGTTTTTAACAATTCTTATCAGATAGGCTTGGGCAAGTATTATCATGAGGAATGTTAATGCTAATGARACTTAAATTATTCCTATGTATTTAAGGTTATGGTCAATGACTTTGAGCTTAGACCTCAATTTTTTTATGTGCTTGGTTTTGATATTCACATGTTCATTCAACTCTACGACAAATAATTTTTCTGCTAGTATCTGGACCCTCAGAAAACTTTTCATAAGGAAAAACTTCCTGGGGCCTTCTTGTTCTGAGTGTGTTATAACACAGATGATGCCCCCATTTCCAAGGAGAAGCAAGCTTGTGCTCATTCACTCCATAAAACAAACAAAAGAAAGGAGATAAGTAATGTCTGTGCTCCTTTCACACACTTGTGTGCAAATTCTCTAGCAGGTTTTCAGTTGGCTTGAGAACTTAGTTCAGAGAGTCCATGTTTCCTGAAAATGAGGACATTCCTATTCACTTTTTTGAAAGATAGGAAGAGTCTGGGCCCTGGAGTCACACTGCTTGGGTTTGAACCCACACTACCATGATCAGGTCTGTGACTTTGCTCATGTAATATGACCTCAACAGCTTCCTCTCTTCTCTCTTCTCTTCCTTTGATGCTTTCTTTTCCTTCCTTCATCCCATTCAGTATCTATCTTGTTTTTACTCTTTGCTAACATTTCARAAAGCCCCTTTTTTCAGGGTCTTTCTATTTACAAAGTATGAGGGCAATGGAGATATTAGTAAATATATCAAAGAAAAAAAAGGAATAGAAACGTCTATTTCACACCTACTGGTTTCACAAATAAAATCTCATTCCATTCCTCAAATTTTGGCACAGAAGCAAAAATGATATAATTTTTTGGTTGTTGTTGTTTGTTTTTTTTGGTACTGGAGATTTAACCCAAGGGTACTCTACTAAGCTACACCCCCAACACTTTTCATTTTGTGACAGTGTCTCATTAAGTTCTCGAGGCTGGCCTTGAATTCATGATCTTCCTGCCTCAGTCTCCTGAGTCCCTGGGATTACAGGTGTGTGCTACCACACCTGGCTACCATAGTGGGTTTTGAAAAAATTGATTAAATTTCTGTTTCTGGCAAAATATCCTTTTAATTTTAGTATATATTTACATGTAGAAAACCATTCTTACTCAAACCTATGTTGTAGACATGTTAGCTTTATCCCATTTATATCCTATAAATGTGTATTGCTTTTTTTATCCTATTCTATTCAGACACCTTCTTTCTACCATTAAGATTTGCAAATATGGATCATTAGGAGGAGTCTGTCCTCAAGGTGCACAAAATATATACCTAAATTAGAATAGTATGTAACAGGAAACAAAAGGTACAAGAGAAAATCATATAAAGTACAATAGAAATTCAGAAATAGAGGTAACATCCAGAGTTTGAATCAGATCATAAAGATTTAAGTAAGATTATAGCAGATTTCAGTATGTAATTAAGAAATCTTAATTTTCAAATCTTTTTTTTTCAGAAAAATCTCTGCAGAGTGACTATTTTAAATGCAATGAAGAAGCTAGGATCTTTCTTAAGGACATTGCTATAGCTGTTAAAAAATTGGTATTGTATTATCTATGAAAGCTATTTTTTCAATCATCCACTTAGTTATTCATCAAACTTTAATTTAGCACCAACTCTGTTTCAAGGTACTTAAATAGGTGAATAGGAAAAATATTTACTTTGAGTTAAAAAAATATATTTTTTTAAAAATTTCAATTTGCTAAGCATTCATACCAGTATTGATTGCTGCCTGCTTTTTTTGTGCAAAGAGCTGAATTATGGGGGCTGTTCTAGGGGTGAGGAGAAGTCCACTCAGGAAAAGCAAATAAGTGACAACAGAGATCAGCTAGTGGGTAGGCCACCCTGACAAATACTTGGGATACCAGATGTAAGCACTACTTAAAACCAGCCAACCAACAAGCAAATACCAAACAACAAAGAGTCTCTGGGAAAATCCTATGCATGGTGTCAATTAACTTAGTTTTCTATAATGCAATTATTTTCATAATTGGCAAAAGATTGATATCTACCCCACTGAAGTAGACTGTGCTATTAGTGAAAACAAAAATGGAAACTCTTTTAATTATACCCACCTGGGCAGTATCAAAGATATGTTTTTATGATTTCCTTCAGAGGTTTCGCTGACATGTGTCAGTTTGTCATCTCTGGATGATTTTTAGGATGCTTTCTTGGTGGGGTCAAAATGATGCAATCTCTCCTTTTAAAACTATTGGATAAGAATCTACTATATATCAAGCATCTAAAAATGTAGAAAATGGGGTTGAGTCCACAGACWGCTGATAAAAATTTCATTATATTTTATATAATTATATGTTTATACATAATAATGTTTACATACTACATAGTCATACTTTATAATCCTACTCAATGAATAGATCCATGCAGACACTTGAAGTTCATGTGTTTGCTACACTAGAGGCCTACTGGAACATTTTCTCCTGCTTGCTTTTTCAGTTACGTTTTTCTCCAGTATCTGGTATGTATTTATTTAATATCAGAGCCATGAAATCTCTTAAGTAACAGAGTTAAATTCCTCCACTTTTAAAAGTAATAATACTCACTATTATAATAGTAATACATGTATACTCTGGAAATTTTAGGGAAAAAATAGAAAATTAAAAGAAGAAAGTAAAAATCACCATGATCCACTACCCTAGAATAATTAGGGTAGGAATAAGGAATATCCTTTCAACCTTGACTCTTACTTTTGTGCAGAAAAGTGATCTTGCTATATATACAATTATGTAATCTGTTTTTTTAATTGGTAAAATATGGCAATTTCTCAGATCATTCTAATAGCTTTAGCTAGTATGACCATTTATTTAAAAGGTGATTTATCTATTTTATTTTTTTTACTAACTGAATTTTTAATGGTTTATACTTTTTTGAAGTAGCCCCACCTTAAACTTACCAACCAACCAACCTCACTTGGTTATTTGTTTGGATTTAGAGATATGAATCAGAGAACCATTATTCTCTTTATCCCTAAACATATTTTTGTAGGCAATTTTCATTTTTTTAGTAAGTAGCTTTCTTTCTCCTTGTTGGACTCTTTCCTTTCTGAATGGTTGAAACTGCCCACAAGAAACAGATACACAAAGAGGATAGATTTCTAAGTGGAAGAAAATCAGCAGAAACTAAAGGATAAATTAGCAATGATATCTTAAAAACCGATTATAAAATATGTTCTTGTCCCACTTTCTATTCCAAATAAAAATAATGGCAGAAGATGTTTAATKAAAGTCAAATATTGGCCCCAGAAAACACTTGTAGAACATCATTCAGGAAACTAGTTTATTATTTTGGTGTCTGACTTTTTAAAAATATGATTTAAATTTTCAGGAAGAAATGAGAAAGTCCACAATTGACCTTCTGGAAATAGAAACCATGGAACTCAGCAGACTCTACTTCCTGCTGGAGATGCTGCCTGAAAACATGATCACGGAGCTCGAAGGTGGTTTTGAGGTTATCTGCTGTAGAGATGTAGTTTGTAAGAAAACAGAACCAAGTACTTTAAAAAGAATGAGACTGATAGTTGTTGCTTGTATAAATACAGCTAGAAAGATTACCTGACAGGAATACAGTGCAATCCATAACCATTTTCCCTTACATTTTAAGCAGAAATAATGAAACTTTAATTTCTATAATTTCATTTCTAAATAGACTAAACATATATGAATTAGTTCATTCTGATTTACTATTTATCCAATTAAATGAAGCAGCTTGACTGGCCTAAACCATCATTCCAACTTCTGTCTCTATGACTTTGGCAACTCTAGGTATGTCACCTTCATGGTATCATATTTCATACGGCAGAATGTCTTCAAAGTTCACTCACATTGTAGCGCACATCAGAATTTCCTTCTTTTGTAAGGCTAAATAATGCTCCATTGTATGGATTCACCACAACATTGTCTATCCATTCATCATCTGATGGACACTTTCATTGCTTCTGGTTTTTTTGGCCATTGTGAATAATGCTGTTATGAACATGGGTGTACAAATATCTATGTGAGACCCTGCTTTCAAGTCTTTTGGGTTTACATGCAGAAATTGAATTGCTGAATCATATGGTAATTCTATATCTAACTTTGTGAAGATCCATCCGTGTTTTCCACATGGCTGCACAATTTCACATGGCCCCCAGCAATGTACAGGGCTTCCAGTTTCTCCACATTCTTGCCTACACTTGTCATTTTCTGGGTGGTTTTTGTTTCTTCATGATAGCCATCCCCTTGAGCGTGAATTAGTATCCCATCGTGGTTTTGATTTTCATTTCCCCAATTGCATTAGACAGCTTTTTTGTCACTCCGATTAAAAAAAAAAACCTACAAAAACAATTTAGAGAAAGAAAGAAAAAGTTTATTTTAGCTCATGGTTTAAGAGGTTCAGTTCACGTCTAGCTGACTCCATTGCTCTGGGCCCAAGGTGAGACAGATCATAGTGGAAGATTGTGGTGGAGAAAAGCAGTTGAGAACATGACAATCAGAAAGGAGAGAGAAAAATGGGGGGAGCTGGTGCCAGAGAAAAAATATAAACTCCAATGTGATGCCCCCACTGACCTACTTCCTCTAGTTACAGCCTACCTACCTACRTTACCATTCAGTTAATCCATTCAGTGGGTGAGTCCACTGATTAGGTTATAGTCTCAGAATATATGATCATGAAACCAATGAACATCCTTGCATTGTCTCAGATGTGAGCTTTTAGGGGACACCTTATATTCAAAGGTGATTAGTGATGATTAGTGATGTTGAACATTTTTTCATATTCGAATTGGCTATTGGTGTATCTCTTTTGGAGAAATGTCTATCCGTGTTTGTGGTTGTCATTGAATTCTTTATGTATTCTGGATATTAGACACATGATTTGCAAACTTTTTGTCCCGTTTCATTGATTGCATTTTTACTCTTTTGATAGTGACTTTTTTTTTTTTTTTTTTTTTTTTGGTACCAGGATTAAACTCAGGAGCATTTGGCCACTAAACCAAATTCCCTGCCCTATTTTGTAGTTTATTTAGAGACAGGGTCTCACTGAATTGCTTAGCACCTCGCTTTTGCTGAGGCTGACATTGAACTTGCGATCTTGCTACCTCAATCTCTTGAGCCGCTGGGATTATAAGAATGTGCCACCAAGCCCGACTTAATGGTAACTTTTAATGAACAATTTTTTTTTTAATTTTGCTGTAGTCTAGTTTATTTATTTTTCTTTTGTTGCCTTTGCATTGTTTCCAAGAAGTCATTGCCCAAAACACTGTTTTTGAAGTTTTACCCTGTTTTTTCTTCTAWGAGTTTTGTTTTTTGCTGTTTTGTTTTGTTTTGTTTTACAATGCTGGGAATTGATCAAACCCCAAACTTCATGCTTACTAGGCAAGTGCTCTACCACGATCCATACCAACCCATAGGAATTTTACAATTTTTGCTTCTAAATTGAGGTCTTTGATCTATTTTTTTAAGTTGATTTCTGTATTCAGTGTAAGGTTAGGGCCCAACTTCATTTCCCCAGCTGCAAGAGTGTCGATGAAGGCTCTTAGCTGACTTTCTCTCTAGGAATTGCCTTAGACAAGAGAGAGAGAGGCTTCACCCTAGGTTACACTTCCTGCCTAGATGCCATCTACATTCAGTGACCTGTCACTGCGAGGGTACAATCCGTGGCTCCCTCACCTCAGAGCAGAGCAGCCCTGAAGTGTCGTCCAGAACTCTTCACAGCTCCCAAACTCCCTTCTGTCCAGCCCTGTTTTTTTTTTTTTTAACCTTACCAGGGGAAACACTCTTAAAAGCACTATTCAATACRTTTTCTAGATACAAATTATAGAATCCATTTCCCAGGGAACCCACCCTAAATGAGTGGTCCTAATAAATAAATTTTAAAAAATTTTCAAAGGCAATCTTTTTTAAAAAAATAGATATTCCAATTATCACTTGTTGCTCCCAGTTCCAATCTGCATTCAATTATTTGCTCTACAGTATGGGAGCCAGGCACTAAAGATTTCTCACTTCTCAACTAGCAGGCACAATGTTAAGCTTTGTTTGTAGAAAGTACTAGAGGAATAGTGGAGGAGGATGGGGTTCTCTTCCTGTATCCAGTATGGTAGGCTTGGGCAACTTGATTCTTGGAGCATGAGTAGCTTCAGCATGCCAAGGCTTTGCAATGTCCAGTGGTCTGGAGAGCCCAGCAGTATCCCCCAGTACCTTTTGGGTGGTTTCATGATAAAGAACAACCAAGAAGCACCTCTCCATGAAGAGTTTGCTCTGCACTTCTTTAGGAAATTTTGCAGTGAGTTCTGAAGCATGGCACCTCCATATGGATGGGTTCTCCAACACTCAAGGGTGGAGTTCTAGTAAGTTCCACCAGCTAAGCATTTCATGAACTTTTTTTGCCTTTCAGTGAGAGACAGCCCTCTCCAATGAGGTCTACCTCTCAGGGCTGGAGGGGCTGTTTCTTCTTATCTCAGCCCTAGGAATGGTGACTGCTGCTCATACCTGCTATTCCTGAATTCTTTGGAGTTCTCTTGAATCCTTACATTCATTCCCTTATTACTCTAATCCTCTGTTTTAGTTAATTTCTCTTTATAATAAACTTACTCTATTCAATTTATTGTGATATTTCTATCTCCTAAAGAGACCTTGAATGATAGTGTAGGTTATAAAACAATATGCTTGATATTAGTTTAGTTTGACAGGGAAAATGCAAAAGTTTATGTGCAGAGAAATAATAAGACTTAGAAGAATATGCACCAAAGGCAAAATTTAGAGTGTTTTTGCTTCATTTTCTTTCTTTTTTTATCTTCCATATTTGCTTACAGGAAAAATAGTTTAGAAGGAAAAAATATGTACATTTAAAATGAAGAAAATTTAATAATTGGTTTTATGTCATAAAGTCATACTGTTCAAAGTGTGTGGTCTTTCAACCAACAGGCTAACAGCATCTGGAAACTTGTTAGAAAATGCCRTCTCTGAACTCACCTCAAACCCATGCTGTAGTATTAGAAACTGTATTTAGCAAGATTCCCAGATGACGGATATGCATATTTGAGAAGCTCTTCTATAATGAGCAATTTAACTAGTAGTCTGGGGGTGGACATGGGGGGCTAGAGAAAAATTAGCCTAGCTTTCTTAGGAGAGGTGCCACAACTTTTGTATAGCAATGGGTATTCCAGCATCTTTCAAAACAATAGTGTTCAAAAATTCACATGTGTGACCCTTAATCTGTCAAACACTGRCTAATTCTTTGGAGTCTTAAGAAATACGTTGATTTGTCATTTTTTATGAATAATTAGTTCTTTAATACGTTGATTCCTCAGCAAACAGAGTCTGAGGCAATAATTTTTGCACTATTACTTCCTAGGGAATTCAATCTAAAGAGGAGGGTAGAAAAGGTGGAAAGATTTGTGCCCTGACTCCTGTCCATCACTGATTTAATATTTGCCATATCTGCTGCACTTTTGGTTTATACGTGGGTGTGGCTATCCAAAGAAATTCCAAACTAGAGAAGACAGGATGTCTCAGGTAGGAGGTGGGAAGTACATGGGACTGCAGGAATCAGGTACTATCAGACTACAGCTTTYGGAAGTTTTCAGAGCAATAGAAAGCTGGTCACCATAGCAGCAGCACAAATCAGAGAAATAAAAATAGGTAAGATGGAGAGGGACCAAAATGGTAACAGGTGTCTGACATAATTAAAAGAATTTTTCAAATGAAGACAGTTTTGTTCACAGTTTGAAATTGTGGTATCTACAAGCATGCTGTTTGGCAACTAATTTAATTTAATAACATTTCCACTTTTAAGAATGTGTCATAGGTGCTCGCAAATTAAATCGTGCTGAGATACATCAAATAAACATGAGAATTCTCAAGACAGATAATGAAATAGAGTGTCTAAAGAAGAGAATAATTGATCTGACAGAAATTAATAAAGCTCTGGGGTAAGTATCTTTTAATTCAGTACTTCAGGGAGTGGAAGTCCAGAGCTTAAATGAGAAAATTGTCCCAAGGGGTTTGTTCTCTGATCTGAACTGGGGGCAGGGCAAGTTAAGAGGTGCAGATCAGTCATAGGGAATGACCCAATCCTAGGCAGGAAAGCAGGAGACTGGAAGACCTGGGCCACTGCCGGGCCATCCAGCTTCCTAGCAGCAACTATGGTTTGCTTATAAATCACACACGAYCTCAAATGCCACCTGCAAAGAAAGGTAAAGGCACAGAATAGCTAAGTCGCCATTTTCACAGAATTAAGTTTATAACCACAATTCCTCCCCAAACAGAAACTCTTGTGGGGATTATAATGTAATAACATCAAACCCGATTTATTGTATCTAGTTTAGTTCTTAAAGACATGTAGTCATACTTATAACCTACTGAATGGGGTTGGTTCCCAAAAATGTTCTATAATTTATCTGTTACAACACCTGTAGTTGCCTGAAGCTCTCAGCTTGGGATCTGACACCTGTCCGTTCCTTTTCTTGATTCCTGAGCTGTGTTGCCTCAGACCAGCACTTCACCTCATGGACCTTATTCATTCCATCTGTGAAATGGAAATCACAGCTCTTGACTCCCAGCTCACAGAGAAAGAGACACGTTCTAGAAGGAAAACAAAACCCTCAAGGAATAACTCATTTCTGGGAGAAAATTTGCAAGACTAATGCATAAATATCAGAATGTTTTACCAGCATGAGAAATGTTCAAAGAACTCTCACCATAGGGGAAAAAATCTCCTTGGGAAGCTAAAATAATCAGGAGGTTGCTTGGTGCACAAGATATCAAAACAGTAGGAATTAGGTGGAGACCTCAAGGCCCAGGAACACACTTCCCAAACCAGGCCCTGAGAATACCTGTCCTGAGAGGTGCTCCATGAGAAAGAATGTTCATACTTACATAAATTTGAGGAATACTGAATATTCTAACCCTGTTAGAGATTCACAATGCTGTGTTATCCATGGTGCAGGCTAAACAGAGACAACTCTATGTAGTAGACTCTCGTTAAGCCAATAACCAGAGAAACACTGCCAGGCTGGATATTCTTATCAACTGGTCAGCAACATCATACCTCTATATTCCTATGATTCTCAAACTTGAAAGAGCATCAAATCACCCAGAGGGCTTGTTAAAACACAGATTACTGGTATTTCGTGGGTTGTGGTGGCAGGGTGGGGGCAAGAGTCTGCATTCCTTACAAGTTCTCAGGTTATGCTGATGCTACTGATCCTAACCACACTTGGAGAGTCATTGCTGTAGCCAAATCTTTATGGAAAGGCCAATTACAGAGAAGGAAGTTGCTACAATCACTTGAGGCATCTACTTTTCAAAAGAAAGATGCATCTCAAGGTTCCCACAAGCTCTGACAGGTGATAAGCATATCTCCTTTCTCAGATGGTCCTGAAAAGCTGGGAAAAAAGGCAGCTGTTTGGATGTGGTTTTGTTAGGTCCCAGGTTCTGTTTTGTGAGTGCTCTCTTTTCAGCACACCACAACCCACCTAGTTAGGTTTGTTGTTGTTGTCGTTGTTTGTTTTTTAACTTGCTTTGCTTTCGTGAGGCTTTTCAATTCTGGGGCTGATCCATTTCTAGGAGGCTTCCTGGGCTAGACCCACAAAGCATCTACTATCTGACCTCCTCGTGGAGCCTCTTTCCTAGGCTTCTTTTTATTGCATTTCTGTAGAGTTTGACTTCTATAAAAAATAAATTTATCAACAGCCCCAACAGCCTGCTTCCAAACACCACCACTGCCCCACCCCGAGTTAAAGTCCTTAACCTCAGGGACTGGAAAAAGTAAAAGGTCTTTATGTTTCAGGAGTTTTTAAAAAGTAAACTAGAGAAATGAACTAATGATCCCCTTTTCAGATCTTTTACTGTCAGATGTTTTTCCTGACATAAGGTCTCCTGTGGATGGAGGAGGCCAGCATGTGAGGTTGAAGACTCCCTTGGTCCTCAGATGGAAGGAAGGTTGGACTGAGGTCTCAAGCATCTTTGAGACAGTAAAGATGGACTCTGTAGTTTTTGTTCAGAGGAAGACTATCTTTCTCTTGGGCCTACTTCAGAGTGTCTTGGAGATATGATGGGATGGTTATCTTTTTTTTTTGCTTAATGACATATCTCAGGTTGATTGATTAAGACYGATGCATATAAAAACATTCATCTGGCCAGATCCCATTCACCTGTTCAGAACTACCTTTGAATCACTTTATACTTTAATCCAAAATATCCTGTAGTTACTACATGGCAATYGATGGGGTAAAGTGAACCCATATGACACTCTTGCAGCAGGTGGACAATTGCTAGGTTGACATTTGTTTTGTGTTTCCTTTTGTCCTTGTATCAACTAAATTAAGATAATCACAAACACAGCTAGAAAATAAGCATCCATTACATTTTTCCTCTTCACAAGGGTTCATCTCATCAAACACTCTTTAAATTTCTTTTCTAAGTGCCCTCCTTTTTATGCTGGAAAGGATTCTTTCTTCCCTAGTGAAAAGCAAGAAGAGATGTCGAAGCGGCATACAGAGATTGTCCTAGCACTCAACCAGCTGATGGAACAAAAAGCCACTACCACAGTTAACATAAATGATATCTGTACCAAAATCAAAGAGGATAGAAAAGAAACAGAATTGCATAAAGTACATCTGCAAGAGACAGAGGAGTTGATGTCAAAAGAGAAAGAAGAATATTTAATAAGAAAACAGCAATTGGCTGCAGAAGTAAGTGGAGTGTTTTTTTTTTTTTTTTAGATACAGAATGATTTAGAATCTAAGGCAGAAATGGAAAATAATCGTCTTCAAGGTTGGCAAATGCTCTTTATGGTGTCTTCTGTGAACATTGGGACAGGAATAGGGTGGAAATCTCAGACATTTGGAGTCTCATGGAGAAGACACTTGATTATATCCCAGCATCTCAATTAATGGGAAAGAATATAAGAGGCAGGATTTGTAACCTCATGGTGGCCCTTGCCTATAAGCCATATATGCAGCCATAGAGGGAAGAGGGACTTGCCACTATGTTATCTCGTTGCCTTTGGCAGTCCTGGGACTGTTTCTGTGTGGACAGGGCCAGCTAATTCAAACAGAACACCTGTTCATGCCTGCCACTTCTGCTGGATGAACCTGAAAGATCAGTGGCCCTGCAGAGGAGCTGTCCAGAGCCAAGGGCCTAAAGATCCAACAGTGTTCTGAGGCCAGCATGTAAGGGTAGGGCTGGCAAAGCTACTTCATCTTTTACTGCCCCCCAAAAGGCTGTGCGTGTGCTATGCTGTGTTAATTGAAATTTACCTTCAAATGGCTTACGATTATTTCATCTGTGAAATTTCTTTTGCAGTACTTCTGGTTACTCCAGAAGAGGCAGGACTGTCTCCATATTAGGTGTACCCAGCAGCAGTCTTCACCCTCCCTCTGCAAGCTGGGTGCATGTTGAGGATTGCTGTGCAGCTCCTGATGCTGCTCTTTCCAAGATAGCAATTGGCATAACCTTGGTTTATAAATGCAGCAAATCAGACTTGGGCTGGCCAGCACTACTATCTTAAATAGGAAGGGAGAGGGAGAGGGAAGGAGGATGSAAAGAAGGGAAGAGAAGGAAGGAAAGAAACTTGGTTAATTAAATTGTTTTTCTTGAGTCTTAATTAAAATTTAAAGAAATAAAATCTGGCAGTGACCATTGGAAATCAGGTGTGAGCTRGGTTTTTGTTGTTGTTATTTTGTGTTTACTTGTTGTTTTTTGTGGTGCTGGTGATTAAACACAGGGCCTTGTGCATGTGAGGCAAGCCTCCACAAACTGAGCTATATCCCCAGCCCTAGGTCTGAGCTTCTTGATCCTTAAAAAATGTCAACTCTTTAAAAATAGTTTTACCCTAAAACCAGAATTCCTGAGAATAGAGAGCTCAGCACCACTGTTTGTTGTAACTGGCATTTTTGTAAAAGAGCTATCAAGGAGCCCATCTTGGTCTGTTTGTGCTGCTATAACAAAATACCTGAAACTGGATAATTTACAAATAATAGGAATTTATTTCTCCCAGTTTGGGTGGCTGGAAATCCCAGATCATGGCACCAGTGAGTTTAGTGTTTGCTGAGGGACCAATCTGTTTCCAATTTGACACCTCAAACACTGCATCTTCCAGAGGGGATGAATGTTGTGTCCTCACATGGCAGAAGGCAAGACAGGGCTTAGCTAATTCCTTGCAGCCCTTTTATAAGGCCCTGAGTTCCAACCAAGAGCTTTCGACCGGCATGACTTAATCAACTCTTGCCCCACCTGTTAGTACTACCACATTGGAAATTAAGTTTCAACATATGAATTTTGGGGACCATATTCAGACCATAGCAGAGTCTCTTGGGCAGTCTATAGCCACCAGACAGAATTTTAAAAGCCAAACTCTCTGGATCCTTTTCTGGGTTGAAACCAGCTGTAAGCCTGGGCTGCATTGCTTGAATCCACTGAAATGTGTGTCTAAAAACTTTACTTGAATTTATTGCTATAACAACGAAATGCAAATTTTAGGACAATAAGGATGAAAAGGGGTTATTCTGTTTTCATTCCCTTCCCATGACAACCCTGGGAGGCATTTGCACTCCCTCCACTGTTTCAAACCCTGAGCAGGGTTTTGTTCYCTCTCTGTAGCCCAGACACCCCCATACTGGTTCTGATCACCACATTACAGGGGCAGAGCAGGGTGTCCAAGTGGGCCTAACCAGATAAGGACCCCCATGGTGCTGGAAGGGTGGGGGAACCCTGTTTCCTTTTTTCACTTCTCCTGGAACCAAAACAGTGGGTTGGGGTTAAGGGGAGGCATGGAATCTGATCTTTGCCCACCAGAAGGGAGGAATTTGTTATATCCACTACTGCATGCGGGCATCAGGAACAGGGCCTGCACACCTCACATGTGGAAGATATGGCTACACTGCTTTGTTGAAAAAATGGATTTCACACTTTATTTAAGCCCGACAGGGATGGATCCCCTTTCTATTCTTTAATATGAACATTAAAACCTAAGAAAAGAAGCTCAGAAAGCTTCATATAGGAAATCTGCAAACATTATAGGTTCCTCTTCAGTATTGCTATATGGAGAGTCTGTCTCAATGGTCTACAAACTTTTTCTWAAAAAGGCCAGATAGTAAATACTTAAAACCATACAGTCTCTGGCACAGCTGCTCAAYTCTGCCATTTTGTCACAAAAGTAGACATAAATAATACCTAAATAAATGAAAGCAGTGTTGCATGGACAGGCATYGGCTGGATTTGGCCCACAAGTAGCCTCCCCAGGTCTGTCTTCCTGGGAAAGGACACCAGTTAAGATGCATTCAGATGCAACAGCAAGGCCCTGGSTGAAGCTGGCTCCAACAGTAAGGTCATTTATTTTGTCCTTACTATAGGAATTCTCAAGGTGGGACATCTCCTCTCATCCCCAGGCTTGTTTTGCTCAGGGTCATTAGAAACCTGCCAGTGATAACTGGACCTTATGCTTCCTTATTCAAATGGAAAGAGGACAACCTTTCCCCAAGCATAAGCTTTTCTCTCCTGTGTTTCATGGGCCAGGTGCAGATGGTGTCCAGCCCTGGAATCACAGCAGATCCTGAGGGAGTGCCATGTGCTAAAACACATGACAGGCCATGGTCACACCTGTTAATTACCTTACTTAGTGTGAGAAAGGAAAACCTATTACAGATGTCAGAATATCTCTAAGCCCATAAGATCTCTCCCAACACAAAATACTGTTTTCTATAATTGTAATATCTTGGGGGGAAAGAATTAAGTCTAAGCATAAATGCGGATTTCTCATTTTCAATAAAACTTCTTAATCGCCAGGTTTCATTCATATGCATCTGTACTTCTGTGTAGAAAGAATTGATAATAGTCATTCAAGGTTAGTGCTTGGGGTGAAGTAGCTGGTGACTCTAATGGAGAGCCACCCAGACATATGTCCTCATAGTTCTTTAACACAGAGTTGAAATGATTTCTTAGACCTTCCCACTTAACTCTTCCTTCATTCGTCATCATCAATTTTGTAGATAAACGTGTTTGATTTTGATAAGAGGGTGATTCACTTCATTAGGGTCTCACAAGTGATCATACTATCTTTGATCTTGGTGAAACAGCAAGAAGTTGCTTGGGATTGTAAGATAACCTCTCTTCAATGATTTTGTTTATTCTGTCTTTAGTTAGTTTATTTCCCATGAAGTAATGTAACTTTTAAGTTCCTGGCAATTCTTCATTCCTCCCCTTCCTCATCTYTCCATGTCTGCTGAGCATGCTATATAAATCAGGTAACCATTGCTGTGGTATTTTACTAGTAAATCACTACAAGGGCAAATATTGCTTTTATAACTTGTTATTAATGATCATTGCTATTATTTCTATTCTAGATTTACTGTTTCAATATTTTATAATTATAGTTTGACTCATATAGTTCACTGGTCCCTGTGATACTGCAAAATAAGCAAACCCTGATTTTGTTTTATATTATTTTACTTTACTTGTTGGAATGCTTAGATTGAATATGGTATACTTAGATTGTGAATTAAGTTGATAAATTTTAAAAGTTTTCTAAACTTTGTTGTGCTACTTAGGCTTTTAAATTAGTTTGTTCTGTCACTATAGATAAGTGAATTTAAAAAGATATATGAGCTTAAGAAAATAGAGACTTTTAAAAAGAAGAAAGAATTGGATAAATTACTAGAGGAAGTGTCAAAAATGAAAGAAGCAGTTATTACCACCTCAGCGGTAAGAAAGAATAAACTATGTTTTTCTCAAGCCTAAAAAAAAGCTAATTGATTTTAATTCATCTTCATGTCTTCTGGGAGAATGCTTTCAGCATGCTTTCTTTCAATTCTTTAACTTTCTTCAAAGTGTTATGATGTAATTGTGTTTTCTTCTTGTCTCAAAGAGAATGTAGTGGAAGCAAGAAATTTGATATATCTGAGGTACAAATTACATTGGATGAACCAAAGTACAGTGAAAATGTTGATCAAAAAACACATATAAAACCAACCAAATATACTGAGACACACACACACACACACATACACAGAGAGAGAGAGAGAGAGAGAGAGAGAGAGAGAGAGAGAGAGATAACATTTCCATGAGATTGCTTTATTTACAGAACAAAATGAAAAACCTTGGGCCGATTCCTTAATTCTGAATGTGGGATAAAAGAGCAGAATTTAAGCTCTCAGTTAATATTGGGCATAATAACATTAATTTAGAAAGGAAACTATTTGTCTATTTGAATTAGAAAATACTTCACAACTCTACATTTCTATTTTAAAAATTATTTATTGAGAATCAGTACTGAGATTTGTACTTTGTTATAATTATTCTCNCTCTCCCTCTCCCTCTCCCTCCCTCCCTCTCTCTCTCTTTTTGGTACCAGGGATTGAACTCAGGGGCACTCAGCAACTGAGCCACATCCTTAGCCCTATTTTGTATTTTATTTAGAGACAGGGTCTCATGCTTAGTGCCTCACTTTTGCTGAGGCTTTGAACTCATGATTCTCCTATCTCAGCCTCCCAAGGTGCTGGGATTACAGGCATGTGCCACCATGCCCAGCTGTTAGAATTATTCATAATTTAAAGATGAGAAAAATCAAAACTTATGGAGGTGACTGTAATTGAAGTGGTTAATATTAATATGACTTTATGTCATTTAAATCAGAAATACCTGTTAATCTTCCATCATGATTACTTTGAATGAATGAATCTTTGTGTATTGAAATCACACGCATAGCCATACTGATGGAATAGTAATATGGAAATGTCACATTTTCTATCCAAATGCACTGTTATTTCAATTATACTTTATAGGGGGTGGTTCTGCTTATTTTAATAGCAGTGTATCTGTTAAGATACTCAATTACAGAATACGAATAAAAGCTAACATTTATTCACAATATGAAATGATCATTTAAAAAGATCATTGCCTTTTTTTAGATTTCAACATAGTAAAGTGCACAGGTCAGACCATGCTTAAGGGAGAACAGAGARGTTATACAAAATGTAATTCACCTGCATGCCCAAGCTCATATTTCCAGTTTCAGCCTCAGAAATCAAACAAGCATCCCACCAACCTAGCTTGGGAAAATCAGGTGTATGTTTCTTAACTATATTTAAAGATCTCTAAGACCATTTCTAATATGCTATAAACGCATCCCCAGGTCCTTATCCACCTCCCACATTCAGCCTGCCCTTCTCAACTCACATTAGCACAGAATAGTGCTTGAAGCACAAACCTGAGTGTCACACAGACTTGGGTTCAAATCTTGGATCTACCAACCTGGGGTAGAAATAGAGGGTAATAATGAAATAGAAGGTAATAATATTGCCTACTGCAAAGATTTTTTTGTGGAGATTAAACCAAGTAATGCCTATCGGGCTTTTAGCCCAGTGCTTTGTATTTGGTAAAGTTTATGGCTGTTGTTGGTTGATATTAGAAGTTAGCAGTTTAGCTATAGATTGAGACCACAGGGAATTTCAGACGAACCTTCATGTGGTACCTTTAGCCTTCAAGTCTTTGCAACCAGATCAAAACTAATGTGATGTTGACAGAAAAGAATAATTGGGTGCAATTTTCAAGGCAATCTACTTGTTYAGGGGAGGGATAACTGAGGGGTAGAGGTAACAACATGACTTCATCCTGTAGCCCTAAATCCAATGATTGATCTCCAATCTTTCATCACTCTGCAAATTTTGGTGATAGTTCTAGAATATTGGACCTCTGATAACTTGGGAACTAGCTACAGCCCAGATGTTTAGCCATCTGGGTGCTCTAGAGAAAACAAAGAACAAAACACTTTGAGTATCATTCATATAGTACCTATCTCACATGACATGCTCCCCACAGGAGTTTCTTTGACCCCACATTGATGTCCAGGATTAAATGGCCTAAATATTCCATCCAGGTAACTCTATGTCAGAGGGAAGAGCAATTGTGCATCCTTTCCTTAGCTCTATGCTCCCTCACAGGTGGAAAATAAAACTAAGACTCAATAACTTTGAATTCCCTTCTCTTTATACCAAAACTACATTGCAAAAATAATGATTTCACTATGAATTTTCTCYACTGATTTTTTCCCTTATTTTAAGTCATGTTAACATTTTTTCATAGTATACATTTGTTCTATTTTCTGAATACTGATAAAATATTTTTAAAATTATTTTTGGAATAAACATAACTATCAAAACAAAAGACCTGGGCTGGGGATGTGGCTCAAGTGGTAGCGCGCTTGCCTGGCATGCGTGCGGCCCGGGTTCGATCCTCAGCACCACATACAAAGATGTTGTGTCCGCCAAATACTAAAACAAAAGACCTAATTTGTTATGGCTTTTAAAAACAATATTTTTTAGTGTTCTGGGATAATTCTTTGAATATGATTATGATGCTGTTGATTTATTTGACTTTTTAAAAATGGTAACAAAATAAATTCTTGTCTTAAATTTTTTTTTAAGTATAATTTTCACATTCTTTCTGCTATTATTGTCTTCCCCCCTCCACATGTTGGGTTTTTTGATGATTTCAAAATTATTTTTGACCCAGTTTATTTTATGAAGAAACAATTATAAATATCTCCTTTTTTAACTAAACGACGGTATCGGTGTAAGAGTTGAATGAGTTATTCATGAATATTTAGTGTAATCAAACTGTTATTGTGTTATCAAAATTGGTCATGATTGAATGTCATATTTTTTGTTGAATTTTCAATAGGCTCTTAGTGATCACAATTTAGAGATCGCACAGCTACATGGCTCAATAAAGCACTGGGAAAAAGAGTTGGAAGGGATGAAGAAAGTGTGTAAGACTCTGGAGAATAAAACGTAAGTGTGATACTTTACTTTTACTGAAGTATTTATAATATTGTTAATCAACTTTTCATTRCTATAACAAATTACCTGAGATAATCAGCTTGTAAAAAGAAAAYATTTATTTTGGCACACAATTTTAAAGTTTCTGATCTATGAACATTTGGTCCCATTGCTTTGTGCCCATGGCAAGGGTGCTARCACAGCTTGGTGGGAACACATGACAGAGAAAAACTACTTACCTGGTAGTCAGGAAGCAAAGAAGGAGAAGAAGACGACCCTGAAGTCTGACAGTCCCCTTAAGATATGCCCCCAGTGTCCTAAATACTACCCACCAGGTCCTCCTTTTTCAAGGGCAGACTACATCCTAATAGCACCACTTTGGAGACCAAGCTTTTAACATATGGGCCTCTGAGAAATATTCAAAATCCAAACAACTATAGCAGTTAATATGGTACTTTCATATTTTATGAATGTCTTTAATATTAGATGGATATTCTATTCTCTTAGTTTACTCAAATTTGTGTGATAGCTTTAAAGAATCAGCTCTTCATTTTGAAATAAGCCATTCTTTCCAATGATGAAGAGAGAAGACTAAGAATGACACGGTCACCTTGGAAAAGTGTGTGGGGGGTGCTCTTTGAAATTGTTATCCTCACTTCAGCTGTTGACTCCTTACAAACAAAAATTCMTCTGGGGAAAGTCACTAGTAGGACATGCCATAAGGCTATAACTCTCCTGTGGGTTGTGATAAGTATTCTTAGTCAAGGGGGGTTTTCAGAACCTACTGAGAAAATACAGTGGTAGAGTGCTTGCCTACCATGGGTATGATCCCCAGTACCATAATACAATAAAAGAAGTAAAATAAAATCTGAACTCTTACTTTGCCCTCAAACTCCTGCATGTTCTAGTCTATCATTTCTAGCCTAATCATACCCCTTCCTTGAATACACCAAGCTTTTTCTTGTCTCTGGGTCTTAACCCTTGCTGTTTCTTCTGCCTTTCAGTCTCCTCCTTTAGATCTTTACATGATTGGCTCTTATCACTCAAAGAGGTCTTCCCTAGTGTTCTGTCCAAAGCAGCATTCTTTCTCTCAGGATCTCACTACACTGTACCCTACTAAGTGTTCTTTGGAGCATTAACATTAACTRAAAGCTATTAATATTTTCTTGGTAGCTTACATCTATTCTGACTACTCCACCAGAATGTAATTTGTAGAAGATTAGGAACTTTGGATATATGGTATCTCTAAGCACCCTGAACAAATCTGGCAGAGTGTRGGTGTTCAAGAATTGTTTCTTGTGGCAGAGCATGGTGGCACATGCCTGTAATCCCAGAGGCTCGGGAGGCTGAGGCAGGAGGATTGTGAGTTCAAAGCCAGCCTCAGCCAAAGTGAGGTGTTAAGCAACTCTGTGAAACCCTGTCTCTAAATAAAATACAAAATAGGGCTGAGAATGTGGGTCAGTGGCTGAGGGCCCCTGAGTTCAATCCCTGGTATCTCTCACCCCAAAATTGTTTCTTAAGTGAAATAATAAATAACTAAAGTATTGGTTCACTAATTGAAAAGCAAGAAAAATTTTTTATATATATATAAGTAGATTGTATGGAGATCTGGGAACTGACTAGAAGTTTCCATGCTATAAGTACATGTATCTTTTGCTGCAAAATATGTTCTGTCATGAATCTGTTCAGCTTTCTTTGTTCATAGGCAGTTCTTTACGACTCATCAGAACAAACTGGATGATACATCCGTTATTGAAAAAAATGAATACCTGAGTAAGATAAAAGAGGTAGGAAGACAAGAGTGATATGCCTTTTAGATATAATTAGATTTTATTTTTATTTGGTGTTTAAATAGGTGTTAAAATATACCATTTTTTCAAAAGTAGAAATTTTTGTTGACTAATAATAATCATGATCACGCACAGTAACTGATTTAAAGATTTTTATCTGCTCCCAAAATATCTTAAATACACGAAAAAGCAAAGATTGTCCATGTAAAGATGAATTGTTTTTAGGTTACTTTTTGTGTGGTTATAATAGGACTATCTGATTAGTAGACATTTTTCATATGAATTATTTAGAGAAATCATGATATTCTTGATGTTGTTTGGTAATCTGTGAAGTATAGCAACCTAATTTTCACTTAATAATATTAGTATTATTTGGTGGGCTGAGGCTGTAGCTTAGTGGTAGAGCACTTGCCTAGTATGTGTGAGGCACTGGGTTCCATCCTTAGCACTACATAAAAATAAACAAATAAAATAAAGGCATGCTGTCCATCTACAATTACAAAATAATTAAACATATTAGTATTATTTGGAAGTACTTGAGTCAGATTTAATTCCCTAAGGAGAATTCTCTAGAATTTTGTTTATTTTGTTTTGCTTCTTTCTTTTTCTTTTTCTTTTTTTTATTTTTTTCCTTTTATTGTTTTTTTTTTTTTTTTGGAAATGTTTAAACTTTTTCTAGACATTTTTTCAACTTAGGTTAAAAGAAATTTTATAAGAAAATAGCCAACAATGTAAACCAAGACAGCCACAAGATATTTCGTGAAGCATTCATTAGGATAGTGAAATAAGAGGAGGGAAGATTTAATTAAAATCCAACAAAAAGAGCTTAGTTAAATAAGCATGAATATTGTTAATATGTTATCAAGTTATGAAGTCATTGTAAAAGAGTATTATATGACCCCATTTATTTATGTATAGACACAAATATACACTCACACCAGAGATAACTGAAATTCTTTTTGTTCCTCACAGTAAATGAATGGGTGAAATCTCCCCCCCCAACCAAATGCACATAGTTAATTACCATAGACCAGGCTTTATAGTGTCAGTACCCTCTATCTGCATCCTCTATCATGTTTTGTATCAAATCAGCTAGATGTAAAAATCCATTCCTTTTACTACATTCTAAAACAAATTGAATAACACTGATTTCATGACCTACTACAATCTTTGTTGGAAATTTTAGTAGTCATGGGAAAGAATTCCACTGCAAAGCACAAAATCTTTTTTGTTTACTGCCTTTTCTTTGACTTCTAGTTCTTCATCCACCTCTTGTTCTAGGATGCATGACCATCACACATTCAAATTCTTCTCCCTGTTAAAAAACATCTCTCTCCATCCAAGGCCTRTATCCGTGCCCCAGAAGGAACATCACAGGAACTCTCCCAGAAGAATGATGCGTTCCAGTTAAATACTTTTCAATTTGTGGTTTTGTGAAAAAATCAGCATAAAACTAGAGGTTTCCTCTGGGATAGCCCTTCTCTGATCTTCTCAGTTGCAAGGATTCTAGAAACCAGTAAAGGCTGGTTGGTTGGTTGGTTTTGAAGTTGTCTTTTGTTTTATGATCAAAAGATTTGTTTCCACTTATTCCCTGTTGTAGGAGTTGTCAGACAACCTTCAGACAATAATTCCATATTTTTCAGGCTTCATGATTGTCTAAACAATCTAGGACCCCTAAACTGGAATAGCTCACCTGGTCAAAGGGGCAAATAGAGGGGTTTCCCTTTYAATCCATATTCCTCAAACAAATTCCATGGTTACAAGTAAGTGATCACTTCAAAGAGCAGGGCTCTGACCCACTTAGTATTTCTACTCAGATAGATACTGTAGGCGCTTAGTGGCATTCATAATTCTCACGAGTTATTGGAGGCAAGTTCAATGTTATGGTTTGGATGTGAGGTGTTCCCCAAAAGCTCATGTGGGAGACAATGCAAGAAAGCTTAATTTTGAGATGATTGGATTATGAGACTCTTAACCCAATCATTGAATTAACCCCCGGATAGGGATTGACTGAATGGTAACTGATGTTGTGGCTACAGGCGGTGGGTCAGGGAGACATGCCTTTGGAGTATATATTTTGTATCTGGCAAGTGGAGTCTCTCTTTTTCTGCTTTCTGATCATCATGTGAGCTGCCTCCATCTACCACACTCTTCCACCATGATGTTCAGCCCCACCTCAAGCCCCAAGGAAAGCAGCCTGCTGTCTAATGGACTCAGAACTCTGAAACCATGAGCCTCCAAATAAACGTTTCCTCAAAATTGTTCTTTTTGGGTCTTTGAGTCGCAGCAGCAAAAAAGCTGAGATGGAATTCAAAGATGGAATTAAACTCTGTTATATCTTTAATTTCCCCCCCCAACATCTCCCCAATCCCCTGCTATTCCCCTACCAGCCCCTGTGTACCAGCACTCTGCTCTCTATTCTATGAGTTTAGCACTTTTTAGATTCCTCATATAAATGAAATCATAGAACATTTATCTTTCTGTGCCTGGACTGTTTTACTTAACATAATGTCCTCATCCAAGTTGTTGCAAACAGTGGGTTGCCATTCTTTTTTTCAAGGTTGAGTAGTTTTTCATTGTGTGTATATACTGTGTTTTTTGGTTATTCGTTCATCCATTGGTGGACACTTAGGTTAATTCCATACTTGGCTATTGTGAATAAATTATTAAGTGCACCACATTATTTATGCATAGATATATCTTTTAATGAATGTAATCTATTAATATTGAACATTTTAAGTATTGATAACATCAGTTTATCAATATTTTTCTTTTTGGTCAAAGCTTTTTTGTGTTCTGTGTCATAAGGGTTTCTTTTCCATTATCTTCTAGGCCTTTCACATTTAAGACTGTAAGCCATTTGGAGTGTGTGTATGTGTGTATGTGTGTGTGTGTGTGTGTGTGTGTGTGTGTGTGTGTTTTATGAGATAATGGTCAAGATTCATATTTCTAAGATTGGCTAATTAACCACCACCATTTAAAGAAAAAGGTCATCTTTTCCCCGCTACATTGCCATTGCACTATCATCATGAATCAAGTGTAGAGTGTTGATTTATCAATGTAAATCAAGTATAAATATATCATAAATATCTGTGTGGATATTAGACTTTCTGTCCTGTTTATCTGGCGTAGTTTATCTCTCAGAGAACAATATTTTCTTAATTAGCAAAGAAACCTTTATAGCTAGTCATACAACTCCTTCAACTTTGTTCTTCAAGATAGCTTCAGCTCTTGTTAGTTCTTTGAATCTCTCTCAGTTTGTCAAGTTCTGCCAAGAGACTCATTTGGACTTTGATTGGTATTGTGTTAAATCTATAAATCAATCTGAAAAGGATTTCACATCTTTACAATATTGAGGCTTCTAATTTATGAATGTGGTGTATGTCTAGTTTAAGTCTTCTTTGTTTGCTTTGCCTTAATTGTTTGGGTTACCAAATTTTTCTTTTTATTTATCCTCCTTGGGATGTATTTGGTTTCTTAAATATGTGAATTTCTATATCTCATAAGTTCTGCAAAATTGTAGCCCATTATTTATCAAATATTTCTTTTGTACTATTCTCTCTCTTCTACTTCTGAGCCTCTAATTCTGTGTATACAATTATTTATACTAATCCATGTATCCTCTATCTCACCTTCTTCTCTGTCTCCATGTTGCAGCTTTCTAGAAAGATGAGTCTTATTTGAGTTCCCAATTTTAATTATTGTATTTTTCAATTGGTAATTATTTAATATCTGTTCAAATATTCTATCTCACTCTGCTGTTTCTAATTTCCAGCCATAATTTTGAAACATGCCTAATATTTCTTTGCACATAATAAGCATAGTACTTTTAGAGTTCAGGGTTTGATAATTCTAATAATCAATGTCTGTGTGTGTCTGTAGTCTCTTATTCCTGTAGTCTCTTATTTCTACAAATTTTGTTCATGCTGTCTTATTTCTTTTTATTGCTGGTGAGAAACTGTATGCTAGAGATGGTATTTTTTAAAATGTTCACAAAAACAATTCAAAGCCTAAGATGATGATATCTTCCTTGGGAACTAATATGTACTCACTTTTTGTCAAATATGTGAAGAGTTACTAGACCCATACTACCTTAATCCACCTTAAATTTTCCTACTGAAGCTCTTTGGGTTCCCAAATCACAGTGGTGAGAGGTTAATCCAGACTCAACATCAGGATGAGCTGTCTGTGTTGGTATTTATCTCCTTACCATGCAAGAAAGCCAAGTCTCAGTTTCCAAGTGGTTTCTTCCATATTGGTAAATGTCCTCAGGGCAGGAGTAGTTTTGAGTGTCAGCCTAATTCCTTTGTCCAAGAGTTAGACATACTCATTCCTCATTACTTTATTTGTTCTTTWGTACTTTCAAGGAGATTGTTCTCATCCAACTATTTTAGTGGTCCTCAGCCAGAAGGTTATTTTGAACTACCCACCATTCCTACCAAACCTAACTTTCTTACCGTATTTGAAGCAATCCAATAGAATTCCAAGAACAAGATTCTTACTTCATGCAAAACACTGATGGGTTCTACTTTTTTTTTTTTGGAGTGGGGGGCATCTTCCAATAGAAATATTGTCAGACATTGGTATCTGCAGGGGATTGTTCACAAGACACCCTTGCAGATACCAGAATCAGACCATGCTCAAGTCCTTTATATAAAATGACACAGTGGGCTGGGAATGTGGCTCAGGCGGTAGTGCGCTCGCCTGGCATGCATGCGGCCCGGGTTCGATCCTCAGCACCACATACCAACAAAGATGTTGTGTCCGCCGAGAACTAAAAAATAAAAATATTAAAAAATTCTCTCTCTCTCTCTCTCTGTCTGTCTCTCTCTCTCTCTCTCTCTCTCTCTCTAAAAAAAAATGACACAGTATGTGCATATAATCTATCAACATCCTCTTATACGCCTTAAAATAACTCTAGATGATATTTAATCATTTATACAATGCCTACCATCACTTCACTCATGTGGATTCCTTCTACTCCAGTACTCAGTGTATGACAAATTCAAGTTTTTCTTTTGGGGATTTTTCTGGAATTTTTTTCCAAATATTTTCCATCTGCAGTTGATTGAATCCACAAATGCAGAACCCACAGGTACAGGTGGCTGACTGTACTTCACAAGAAGCAAGCATCTTATCTAGTTAAAGCCATTTTGAGCAAGAATTTCTCTGGAAGTTTTCTTTTCCCTGGCATTGTTAATATTCTATAAAAAGGACACACAAATGTGGCTGAATGATCACAGTTTATTAATATCATTTTCTATTTCAATGTGGATTTTTACCCTATGGTTTTACATCAATGTTTTGTCTTTCTATACTTTTGACATAATTTATAGAAGAGGCCCCCAAAGGTACAATTGMCTATTTGCTATAGAAATAAATCATCCAACAATTGTGGCCTATTTGTTGCATGCTAAGCAATATACTCAGTACTCTAGAGAATTGCTCATCTAATGTGGAACCCCTCCAAGGAACCATGAAGCAAGTCTTCTCATACAATTCCTTTGTTTTTCTCTAGCTGGCTGATCAACTGCACCAGTTTCAAACAGAGAACAAAGAGCTACGAGCGAAACTGTATGATTTAATGAGAGAATATAAGATTGTCTCCAGAGAGGAGCACAACGTTTTTACGCATGAACAGATCACCTATGAGGAGTATGTTTCTACCTATAAGCCCCGTGTGAATCAGTGTGCCATAATTATGGGATGCTTGTCTTGCAGTGCTCATCCTAGTTTTAAAAATCTATTGACAACAATGAACTATTCTTAACCCGGGAATAAATAAACACACTTCTAATCTGCCCCTATAGTGCTATGTAATGCTTTCCTTATTTGGATCAGATCAATCTATTTTAAAAAACACATTTTTTCCATTTCTAAAACATGTTTTTTTAAAGAATCATTATGYTCTTACCCTATAAGACTATCCAGAGAAATCATGTTATCTACCTTCGTTAAAAGCTGGCTCCACATGTGTATTCCCTTTCTCAGATTGTCGTTGACACCACCTAACCCCAGAGACTAGAAAATTATTCAACGAAATCCCCTATTGGGCTCCTTTTGGTCACCAAGTCTTGTTAATGCCACCTCTAAAATATTTCTTAAATATAGCCTAAACTTCTCTCCAATTTTATTCTTTCTACCTCTTTCAGTCTCTGTTTTGGCTTTCCTCTCAAAAGTCCCCCCCATCTTCTGGTTTACAACCACTAACTTGTCTGCCTCCTTTTCACCAGAATGATCCTTCTGAAGCATTCCTCGGATGCCACTGTAGTCAACTGGGTATAAATTCTTTTGTCCCACTGGACTACCAGGAGATCAGGGCAGTCACTCTCCTTATTCAGTGCTGTTATGCTGGGGACCTCATGCATGGCTTTGAAGGTAGTGGGCATTCCCCAGTGTTTTCTTCAAGAATATTGCAGAGTAAAATCTTGCAACTGTGAAATTATGTGAGTGAGTCCATTACTACACTCAACGTTCAATCTCATGGAAGTGTATTTACAGTGACCAGACCCACTCAAGTGAGTTTATGCTCATTGTTTTGTAGTATTTAAGCTACAGAGAGTTATCACGATCATTTTAGGTCATCCGATTGCACAGCATGCTTAGAACAATGCTGGTATTCTTCAAGCAGAAACCTCACCCAGATCAATCCAAAGCGTGTTTGTTAGAAACACAAACATGCTGGTGACAGCCATGAAACTAGAAAGTTTGATAGCATCGTGGTTTTTTGTCTTAGCCCAGGCTGCTTAAACAACACAAATGTATTTGGGGATTAAAAATGATTTTTTTCTTGCCTGTCAAGTATAAGTCTCTGGATTCAATCTCAGGTACCCACAATATATATATATAATTTCAGACCTTCAGCACAGCTATCTTTTTTCATGGTAGATACCGCAAACAAATGGCCTTCACTACTAAGAAAGAAAACTTCCTGTCACAAAGAAAAATAGACATCCAACATATGGAAGAAGGACTTGTTACTCTTAAAAATCTTTATCAGTAAGTATTTTGCCTTTGAAATTTTCAGTCTTTTATCTTGCATTTATTTCTTAATAAATGGTAACAATAAGTCTATGTTAATTTCTGATATACTATAAAAAATAAGTTTATAATTAGCTKTTTCACAGCTAAGAAAGTCATTGCCATTGAATCTTTTAAAATTTTTAAATTTGTTCTTTTTAAATATACATGACAGAGTATATTTTGACATATTATACATACATGGAGTATAACTTCTAATTCTTGTGATTTTATATGATCTGGAGTTATATTGCTCATACATTCATATATGAACATAGGAAAGTTATGTCTGATTTATTYTACTATCTTTCGGTTTCCTGTCCCTCTCTCTTCCCTTCATTCCCTTTACTCTAATCCAATGAACTTCTGTTCTTCCCTTTCCCCCCATTATTTTGTGTTAGCATTTGCACATCAAAGAGAACATTGGGACTTTACTTTTTGGGGACTGGCTTATTTCACTTAGCATGATAGTTTCCAGTTCCATCCATTTACTGGTAAATGCCAAATTTCATTCTGTTTTATGGCTGAGTAATATTCCATTGCGTATATGTACCACATTTTCTTTATCCATTCATCTGTTGAAGGGTACCTAGGTTGGTTCCATAGCTTAGTTATTGTGAATGAGCTGCTATAAATATTGATGTGGCTGCATCACTATAGTATGCTGACTTTAAGTCCTTTGGGTATATGCTGAGGAATGGGATAACTGGTGGTTATCAAATGGTGATTCCATTCCAGGTTTTCTGAGGAATCTTTATACTGCTTTCCAGAGTGGTTGTGCCAATTTGCAGTCCCACCAACAATATATGAGTGTACCTTTTTTCCCACATCCTTATCAACATGTATTGTTGCTTGTATTCTTGATAATTGACATTCTGACTGGAGTGAGGTGAAATCTCAGTGTAGTTTTAATTTGCATTTTTCTAATTGCTAGAAAATTGAACATTTTTTCATATATTTGTCAATCGATTGTATTTCTTCTTGAAGTGCCTGTTCAGTTCTTTTGCCCATATATTGATTGGGTTATTTGTTTTTTGGGTGTTAATTTTTTGAGTTCTTTATATATCCTGGAGATTAATGCTCTATCTGGGGTGCAGGTGGCAAAGATTTTCTCCCATTCCGTAGGTTCTCTCTGCACATTATTGATTGTTTCCTTTGCTGTGAAGAAGCTTTTTAGTTTGATAAAATTCTACTCATTGATTCTTGATTTTACTTCTTGGGCTTTAGGAAGTCTGTTGAAGAATATAGTTCCTAAGCCTACATGATGGAAAGTTGGGCCTACATTTACTTCTAGTAGGTGCAGGGTCTCTGCTCTAATACATAGGTCCTTGATCTACTTTTAGTTGAGTTTGTGCATGGTGTGAGATGTGGGGCTTAATTTCATTTTGATACATATGGATTCCAGTTTCCCCTTTGTATGTTAAAGAGACTATATTTTCTCCAATGTATGTTTATGGCACTTTGTCTAGTATGAGATAACTGTATTTATGTGGGTTTATCTCTGTGTCTTCTATTCTGTACCATTGGTCTTTATGTCTGTTTYGGTGCCAATACCATGCCATTTTTGTTACTAATGCTCTGTAGTATAATTTAAGGCCTGGTATTGTGATGCCTTCTGCTTCACTTTTCTTGCAATCYTTAGATTGCTTTAGATATTCTGGATCTCTTATTTTTCTAAATGAATTTCATGACTGCCTTTTCTATTTCTATGAAGTACATCATTGGACTTTTAATAGAAATTTCATTAAATCTGTATAGTGCTTTTAGTAGTATGGTCATATTGACAATATTAATTCTGCCTATCCAAGAGCACAGGAGATCTTTCCATCTTCTAAGGTCTTCTTCAATTTTTATCTTTAGTGTTTGGTAGTTTTCACTGTAGAGGTCTTAAACCTCTTTTGTTAGATTGATTCCCCMAAATTTTTTGAGGCTATGTGAAAGGGATAGTTTTTCTTATTTCTCTCTTTCATTTGGTTCATCACAGATATATAGGAATACAATTGATTTATTGGTGTTAATTTTATATCCTGCTACTTTATAAGTTATAGAAGTTTTCTAGTGGAATTTTTTGGTTCTTCTAAATATAGAATCATGTCATCAGCAAATAGGGGTAGTTTGAGTTCTTCTTTTCCTATTAGTGTCCCTTTCATTTCTTTCTTCTGTCTAATTGCTTTGGCTAGAGTTTCAAGGGCTGTGTTGAATAGAAGTCATAAAACAGGGCATCCTTGTCTTGTTCCAGTTTTTAAAGGGAAAATTTGAATTTTTCTCCACTTAGAATGATGTTGGCTTTGGGTTTAACATTTATAGCTTTTACCTTGTTGTGGTATATTCCTGCTATCCTTAATTTTTCTAGTGTTTTGAACATGAATGGATGCAATATTTTGTCAAATACTTTTTCTGCATCTATTGAGATCACCATATGATTCTTGTCTTTAAGTCTATTGATGTGATGAATTACATTTATTGATTTCTGTATGTTGAACAAACCTTGCATCTCTGAGATGAACCCCACTTGATTGTGGTGTGCTATCTTTTCAATATGCTTTTGTATGAAATTTGCCAGAATTTTATTGAGAATCTTTGCATCTATGTTCATCAGGGATATTGGTCTGAAGTTTTCTTTCCTTGATGTTTCTTTGTCTGGTTTTAGTATCAGGGTGGTAGTAGCTTCATAGAATGAGTTGGAAAGTGTTCCTTCTTTTTCTATTTTATGGAGTATTTTAAACATTATTGATGTTAGTTCTTCTTTCCAGGTCTGGTAGAACTTGTCTGAAAATCCATCTGGTCCTGGGCTGGGCTTTTCTTTTTGGTAGGCTTTTGATGGTATCTTCAATTTCATTGTTTGAAATTGATCTGTTTAAATTGTGTATGTCCTTCTGATTCAATTTGTGTAAGTCRTGTGTCTTTAGAAATTTGTTGATGTCTTCAAGATTTTCTAKTTTATTGAAGTATAAATTTTCAAAATAGTTTCTTGATTATCATYTGTACTTCAGTAGTATCTGTCATGATATTTCCTGTTTTATCAAGAATTTTAGTAGTTTGGGTTTTCTTTCTCTTTGTTAGCTTAGCTAARGRTTTATCAATTTATTTTTTCAAAGAACCAATTTTTTAAATTGTTTCAATCTCATTGATTTCAGCTCTCATTTTAATTATGTCCTGTCTTTTTCTAGGACTTTTGAGATGTAATGTTATTTGTTTGGCGTATTTCTATTCTTTTGATGAATGAGTTCAGTGCAATGAACTTTCCTCTTAGTCCCAGAGATTTTTATATGTTGTGTCATTTTTTCATTTATCTCTATGTATTTTTAAAATTTATTCCCTGATTTCTTCTGCTATCTATTGGTCATTGAGTAGCATATTATTTCATATCTAGGTGTTAGAGTAGCTTCTTTTTAAATTTTATCATTGGTTTCTAATTTCAATCCATTATGATCTGATAGAATGCAAGGTACTTTTTTCTATTTTTTTAATAAGAGTTGCTTTGTGGCCTACAATATGGTCTATTTTAGAGAAGGATCCATGTGTGCTGAGAAGAAAGTGTATTCAGTCATTRATGGATGAAGTATTCTATATCTGTCTGTTATGTCTCAATTATTAATTGTATTTTTTAGTTCTATAGCCTCTTCATTTACATTATCTTTGAAGGGTCTATCTAATGGTGAGATAGGTATTATAAAGTCACCCAGTATTATTATGTTGTGGTCTATTTGATTCTTGAAATTGAGAACAGTTTGTTTTACATACATGGATTCTCTATTGTTTGGGGCATAAATATTTGATTCTTATGTCATTCTGATGTATAATTCCCTTAAGCAATATGAAATGTCCTTCTTTGTCCTTCCTTATTAACTTTGGCTTGAAGTCCACTTTATCTGATGGACACCCCTGCTTGCTTATAAGATCTATGTAAACTATATGTTTTTTTTCCCATCATTTTATCTTTAGTCTGAGGATGTCTTTGCGTATGTATGAGACTCTTGGAGATAGCATATTGTTATACCTTGTTTTTTAATTCAATTTTCCACTCTATGTCTTTTGTTTGATGAGTTTAGGCCATTTGCATTAAATGATATTATTATTTTTTAAAATTTTTTTTAGTTGTTGATGGACCTTTATTTTATTCATTTATTTATATGCGGTGCTGAGAATTGAACCCAATTCCTCACACATGTGGGGCAAGCACTGTACTACTGAGCTACAACCTCAGCCCATTAAATGATATTAAGAAATTATTTTTATTCCCTGTCATTTTGATTTATTTCTGGTTTTTAATTTGAATTTGTTTCTCCTCTGCTTCACTATCCTTGTAGTGCAGTTCACTCCTTTATTGGTTTTCAGTTTTAATTTTCATTTCTTCTTCATGAAATATTTTACTGAATACATTTTGTAGTGCAGGCTTTTTGGTTGTGACTTCTTTTAACTTTTGTTTATCATGGAAGGTTTTTATCTCATCATCAATTCTGAAGTTTAATTTTGCTGGTTTTAGTATTCTTGGCTGGCATTATTTTTCTTTCTGAGCCTGGTATATATTATTCAAAGACCTCCCAGCTTTGAAGGTCTGAGTTAAGAAAAGAAGATGAGACCTGGATTCATCTCCCTCTGAATGTGACCTGTCTTTTTTCTCTGGCAGTTTTTAAAATTCTAACCTTGTTCTGTAGGGTTAGCCATTTTCATAATAATGTGACTTGATGTGGGTCTGTTGTAATTTTGTATAGTTAGGGTCCTGTAAGCTCCTATATTTGATTTTTCCATTTCATTCTTTAGGTTTGAAAATTCTTCTGATATCTTTACATTGAAAAGATTTTGCAATCATTTGGTTTGTATCTCTGGGCCTTCATATATCCCAATAAATCTTAAATTTTATCTTTTAATGTTGTCCCATATTTCTTGGAAATTCTATTAATGGTCTCTTAACATCTTTTCTTCATGGTCAACTTTGTTTTCAAGATTATATACTTTGTCTTCATTGGTCTAGTCTG